TATCCACCAAAACAAACACACCAGGAAAGAGGGGAGAAATCGACAACGACTACTGAACTGCAAATGGTGAATGAAAGCACGAAAGTTTACATAATCTAATGTAGCAGTCCAAGAGAATGAATTAGTAAAGAACAACACAACTTGCATATCTAATAGGCCACTGTGCAGAACAGTGTAAATTCTTTAAGAACAGTATAAATTCGATGGACAAAAAGCAAACGATAATACTGAAAGGTACAATAATCAAAATTTAACAAAAAAAACCACCAACATAAGAGTTTAAGGACGGCTAGATAATTTTTTTGATAATTAAAAAAAAAAATACGGCTAGATATTTGTTTTTTATTTATAGTATGCATAAAATTATGGGTAGTATTATTTTTGATCCTTAAAGTATGTTAGTTTAGTCTTCTTTGCATTAAATTTATCAATTTAATCTCTCAAATTTTAATTCATGTCACTTTAGTCCTTAATCAAACAGTTTGTCGAATTTTTTAACCGAAGTGATCACGTATCATAGTTTCAGACGATATTACGTGACCAACACGTGATTATTCTGTCAAAAATTGAATCGTCCGTTGGCATAGGCACTATTTAAACACAAATTGGATATATTAGGGACCAAATTGATAAAATTGATATTTTAAGGATCAAATTGGTCAAATGTATTTATTTTAGGGATCAAAAATACAATTATTAACCCTAAAATTAATTGTTTGCCGCAATCATATGAAAAACGAAATGACAAAATAGAGAAATCAGCACAGTTCAAACTAATGACAAACAATGTCCTATAATCGCTATAACAAACGATCCACAAAGGATTCTTATTAGGTTAACCCTAAACTTCCTACCGCCACTACAACTCACTTTTTTTATGATTGAATGTAAACTTATGAGGTTGACATAAGTAAATAAAATAAATTGAGTTAGAAACATACCATCAAAGTGGAGGTAGGGGAAATTTGAAATTGTGCAATGAGACACTGAAGCCTCTACTGCATTCGCTTTTCTTACATTCATTACAAATCTATGCCCATTGTAGAGATATACCTTGCGGACGATTTAGGAGAAATCATCCATGGCAGAGTGCTTGATGGTAGAGACATTTGATGGAGAGAGACGGAATTATATTGCAATTGACTAATTTTTCCCTAGGAAAGCATTTTATCAGCGAATCTCAAATAAATATTTATTTAATTTTAATGACTAAAATTATTTTGTTGCTCAATCTGAAAAACATATTAAAATCAATTTGTTTTATCAGCTACGAATTTTTCAGCTGTAAAATAAAGATATTTTTCTAATTTTGGTGGTCATGAACACGTTATGTGTGTTGGGACGTGTGCATATTATTTGTCGATGAAATTATAATTTTCTCGGGTAAAAGCCATTTTTTTGAAGTACCCGAGAAAAGTTGGACCTAATTAAGGTCTCTTTGTTGTAATCGCATGATTTTGTCGGTGGATTTTATTATCTGTGCTCCATACTTGTTGACATGTAGACATCACTGTTTGCTGATATGTATACATTACTGTTTGTGAATAAGTATATAAAATAATACTGCTCCACTTACACAATAATCTTTTCAATTTTACTTATCAAATCAATATAAATTGTTGGGTAAGTAAGTTCATTGACTTTTTATCTAGTAGGAATAAGTATTCACGTTCATTTTGTAATTTAATAAAATCTGGAAAACTATTTGCATACACATTATCACCATATAAAATAGAGTAAATTATAGTTTGTACCCTAAAAATTTACACCTAATTTCTGTTCGGTACCCGAACTATCAATTAAAACAATCAAGTTCTTGAATTTTATGTTTTGTTACAATTAAATCCCTCAATAATTCCAAGAGAAAAAAGTCACATGAGCTTAAACTTCATTCAATTATGAGATTAATTTTGAATAAGTTGACTCCAAAGTTAGACTTTATATGTATTAAAATTACATTGTTGACTTATTTGATATAGATTTGAGTACTTCAATTAGATGTATTGACTCATGTCCTACAGATTTGCCTCAATCTATGTCCTTCGGTCAAAATTATGGTTGTCATTGAAGTAGACAAATTTTGACATAGAGAGTTTAATCGAACTAGTTACCAAATTTTAAGAGCTTAATTGTTGCAATCAATTGTCAAAGGACCAAATAAAAATTAAGAGTGAATTGTAAGGGTACAAATTGTAATTTACCCTACCCCACAAGACCGGCCCAACGGTATGAAAACAAAAACCCCGACCCCAAATTTTTAAAAGACTCCATAATTTTAAGTACATTACAAACGCACAAAAAAAAATTAAATCCATTAAATTTTAAGCCTTACAAAAAAACCCAAAAAATTAAACTCAATCAAAATTTTGTGAAAATTGAAGGTGAATCCCCCTAAATAAACTTATAATAACTTGAGTCTTAGAAAGAAACTTATTTGAGAATAAGTCCTCGTTTAAACTTATATATAAGTGCTTAAGTCCACTTATTTTTTAAATCTCATAATTGTCCTTAACGATGTTAATTTTGTCTAGTTATGAAAAATCACAAAGGTTAAATCATTGAGGTATATATAGAAACCCTTGATTAAGTTATATATAGAAACCGTTTATTAAATATTATGATAATTAATGAGAGTTTTATATGAAAATTATATATTCTGATAATTATATATATGAAATTTAATGTACTAATAAATTGTTGGTCTATTAAGTCAAAACTAGATCACAAAATTTCTTTAACAACAATAAAACATAATATAAGGATGCTAAACAATGTCAATAGAGTTCAATAACACGAATGTTAATATATAGTAACATTCTTGTTACTATATGATTGAAGTTACAATTAGGGTCATGTTATCATTACAGTCGTGTTACTATACTGACACTAATTAGTGTCACTATAGTGAATTTTAACATACAATTATAAATCTTGAGACGTATATTATGTAACATACACTTTAATATTCACAGTAACATCAAAGGTTTGTATTCAATAACACATCAAATTTTACAAAATACAAGACAACAATTTTTTTTACATGATATCAACTTTCGAATAATTTTAGTGAAAATACAATCCATAAATTGAAAATTTACAAAATGACAAATAGTAACACACAATCGATAGTTAAATTACGACACTCAACACCAATTGTGAAAATTAAGACGTCGAAATTCTAAACTCTATTTTTTAATTCACGTACAATAACTTAAAGTTTTTTCACATTAACACAACAAAAGAATACTCGACTGTCTTGCGCAACAAAAAAATCAATAAAATCGAAATCTATAACACTTTAATTTAGTACTAATATATGAGTTTTCTTGAATCTTGGTTACAAGGTTAATGCCCACTTTAATAGAATTAAATTCCTAATTGTTATTACTTTTTTAACATGTTACTATTTTTTTTGTAAGCATATTACTATTTTTTTAGTGACCATGTTACTGTTTTTATTGAATAGGTTACTATTGTTATTTTTCAAATATAAATATTGAATATTAATATTTTATCGATGGAATCCAAAATAAATTGGAATAGTAAATTGAAATTAAGTTTTATAAAATATAATGAATTTGAAATTTGAATATGAACGATTTCTAATAAATGTTGATTTCTTGTTTTTCGAATAAAGAAATATTGTGGTTTAGAAGATTGTAACCGGATTTAAAGACAATTATGAAAGAGATATAAATGACTATTTATCGTGTCCATAAACGTCGTTTATAACATTCATATAAAAAAAGATTACAATAGTAAAATTAACAAAAACGGACTTAAAATTAAATAAATTTTCTTAAAAACAGACTTAAAATCAAATAAATTTTCTTAACAAACTAATCTCCAAATAAGTTTCATATAGGATGACCGGCCTCCAAATTTTTCCAAAATTTTTATTGCAATAATTTGAGCATAAAATCCAATCCATAAGATTAAAAACTTAAAAATTAAAAAAATTAAAAAAAAATACTTAAAACCCAACTCATATTTACACACACACACACTCTCTCTCTCTCTCTCTGTCTCTCTGGGGTAAGAAAAAATAAAAAACAAAAGTTAAAATTAAACACTCTCTCTTTGTGGTAAAAAATAAAAACAAAAATTAAAATCTTTTTCTCAACAATATCAACACATCCTTCTTTTGTCTTCCTCTCACATAGAAAATTAAAAATAAATTGATTTTTTTAAAAATAATAATACTAAAAATAAAAAGACTTTCATTTAATGTTTTCGTTTTAGATCTCAAATTGGCTTAAGCCACTCCTGTCATCCTATAAAATATATTACTTTTAAGAGGTTAACTCGGGTTATTTATTTTGCATTCTTTAAACTTTGTTTTGAGCAATGAAACTAATTTTATATCAAGTCACGGTAGTTAGGCATTCAACTTGATGGAGTAATCCACACATGCCTTAACCAAAATAAATGAAACTAATTTTACCTAGAAAAGAAAAGAGGGACCTATATAGAACTACCTGGAGTAAGGGGATAGTTTTGGTAGGACATGAACCTTTCTCCCTAACCCATTCATCTAGAGAGAGATTGGGTAGGTGAGTAGGTGTGTTTTTTTTTTTTTTTTTTTTTTTGGGGGGGGGGGGGGGGGAGGGTTTGGAGAGAAGAGGTGGGAAACCTTATATTAAACCAAGATAGTGGACCTCAGAACCTCGTGTCCACTTAGATTTCAAGTTCTGCTGCAGAGAACTTCATCACTTCCATCTTCAACAACTGTTTTCTACATCTTCAAAGGGTTTCGAGGTTATCTGTGTTGGGAGTTGGTAGCAAAATAGATCTCCAAAAGAGCACAAAAACAGAGGACAAAAAATCTGCTCCACTAACACACTAATTTCACTCAAGAAACACCTTTATATTTCATCAAAAATGATCACAATATCAAGGAATACAAGGGGAAGCTAATCTGAATTTTTCCAGCAAGAACAACTCACAAAATAAGCTATCAGACAGAGCTTCTGCTCTTGAACAGGCTACTGTTTTTCTGGCAGCAACACTGTTTTTTTACTCTCTTTTTTCTGTTTTTTTCTGCACAGAAAACCACTCTACTTTTTGGGTAGCAACTCCACTCCTTTTATACTGATTTTTCTTAGCCAAAACACCTTGAATTTGGCCACTTCATGGCCGGCTGTCCTCAAGAAAAAACTGTTTGAATTCCCATGTAGCCATGAATGAACAAGCCTCCCAAGAACATGAATAGACCTCCCAAAATATTCTAGACATTTCTAGTGACTACCTCTTCAAATACCATGACGTATCATAAACCTAAAAATACAAAAAACTACCTTTTAAAAATTGAGTTTATAAAAACAAACAATTTGTCTATACAGAAATGAACAGTACATCTCCAAATCTAAACAACTCAGGCGACTTGGTCTCCGTGGAACACCCAAAATCCCACAAGCAAAACCTATGTCGTTTTTGCAAACTATTTCAAGAACATTACCCACCTGGTTTTCTCAGAAAGGTATAATCTTCTAAACCATTCTCTCTAAGCACAAACTAGAACATGCAAAAGGGCACAGACAATCATTCTTACAGCTTAATCTACTCTTTTCCTTTCGTTTTTTTTTTTTTTTTTTTATAGTTTTACTTGTTTTAACCTAAATCAAGGAAAATGAAACTATGCATCTTGTTATTTATTTTTCCTCTAGAATTGTTGCTTTTATTCAAATCAGGTTCCACAATCTTCTAAAGCAATCACAATAGAAGTTTTCTTCATTGTATTTGTCAATATCATGAACCACCACATGCGAGTGAAGAGGATGTGTAATGGTGCATAAGCATAAGCATAAACTTCAGACTCTCATTATATAACACATTCTAAAGTCATGCAAACTTAGCCTAAAATGAATAATATTATATAATGCGGGTCCGGAGCGTTACAATTGATATCAAAATCATTGACCCTCATGGTGTGGAGGTCACTTAAGCCTGTGCATCCCTAAGTGCATCCCTAAGTGCACCCCAATTTGTCGGGCTAGTGGTAGCTTGTGTGGTGGGAGTAATCCCTCGAAAGCTAAATCACGTTGTGCAAAGCCCAAATGAGGACGTTTGGGTTTTAAGGGTAGATTGTAATGATTCAATCCCACAATGAAACAGATGTCGCGTAGTGCATAAGTGTAAGGTTTACACCTTCATTGTGTAATGCGTTTGAAAATCATGCAAGTCTAGTACAAAGTGGACAAATAAAGAGCCCTTATTGAAAAATCACAATTAAACGAAATGTATCTATGATTTGATATGAAAGATTGACTTGCAAAATTCTCAAAATTTTTGTGTAAACTCTGTGTGTGTGTGTGTGTGTGTGTGTGGCAGGTAGTGGTGGAGACAATGGCAACGTATCTATTGGTGTTTGTGACGTGTGGTGCGGCTGCACTTAGTGCAAGCGATGAACACAAAGTATCACAACTAGGTGCGTCTGTGGCTGGTGGGCTTATAGTCACCGTCATGATATATGCCGTCGGACATATCTTTGGTGCACACATGAACATGCCATTTGAAATCCGGGATTTTGGATGACCCACTTCAGTAGTAGAAAAAATCTATGGTCATCACTACCATTACCAAAAAGAGTATGATATCATAATTATAGGTATACATACATGTAAACCGAAAATAATTAGAAGTGTGGATTGTTTATGTCCTTTGTTTACATTCCTACAGGCCCAACATCTCTGCAGATAATTCAATATTAATTAAGCTGGGATATTTAAATGAGCATCATATTCCATTATTCCTCCACAAACTTCGGTATTAAACACATTCAAGAGTAATACTTATCTCGATAAAATCAAAATCATTAAAGGGAGCACCGTGCAGGGCTGGGGGTGGGGGTATATATTGAGAGAAATAAAGTAAGAGTAAAGCTACCTGATCACGGAAACCAGCGAATTTGTAGTACAGACCATCCTTTATCCGGACTCCAAGCTGATTTGTCCGGGGCACTTTCATCCAGGTAAGGCTCACTACATCAGACTTACCAACTTCCATCCCTTTACCACCTCCTAGTTTCTTCCACAGTATACCCCCTGAATGAACCCTAAGTTGCCCTGGATTCTGCATAAGATCAAGACACACACACAGAAAGCCAACCATATTATATATAATATGCATGCAAGCATATCAGATAACTCCTAAGAACTCAAGAATAATCAATAATTTGACCACAGTTGGGGCAACACCACGTCCAACCCTAGTTTGAAGCCCTAAATTTCAGTTCATACATGAAATCAAATAAAACTTTGGGGTAAAAAATGAAAACAGCCATAGTCTCCGGACAATAAAGATTAAGTTCAAGTTCGTCTCCTCGATTCTCCTACAACTGCACAGTTCCACTAACACAGCATCGATAAAAACTTGAGTTCTAAAACGAAGACCTCGCAACCCCAGCATTAAAATTTTTAATATCGTCACGGAAAATGCCAAATGAAGACACCGAAAAAAACCGGAAACTTCTCATCGTATCTACGACCAATCATAACAAACTTTGGCAAAATCAATAGCAAAACCCTAGAAAAATCGTGAAATTAACCAAACCAAACCAAACCCAGGGATCAGCTAGAAAAATTAAAAAAAAAAACACTAAACTGAAAAAGAAATCACACTTTGCACAGAAATGAAATAAACGAGCCTTCAAATTTGAATCTACACGCAAATCGCAATAAACAAGGGTTACGGTTTCCAAAACCAATAGCATAGAGAAACGGAAAACGAAACATATAGGAGGAGAATCCATTTTTCTGAGCTTCAAATTCGTTAGTATAATATATACATATATGTATATATATTGAGAGAGAGAACTGACAGTGCCCCCACCCCCCAGAGAGATATTGTTGAACAGGTGACCATCCGCCATAGCTTCGAATGAGCGAAACAGAGAGCGCGCGACACAGACAGTCGAAAACAGACAGAGAGAGAGTCTATATAGGCCACGTGGAGTGCGTACTCCGCTCCCTCGGGTGTGGCGCGAAAGAGGTAAATATAAGATCTGATGTGTTCCGTCCCTTAAAGTATACACTAGTTGACGGTCCACGGAATTTACTCTGATGTGGCATGTTATTATTGGCCACAGGGGTTACATGGAAGTGCTTGTAGTTAAAAAAAATAAATAAATACTAGGATAATCAAATGCCATAATTTTTTTTTTAATTTTAAAAAAAAAATAAGAAGCTCAAGGACTAGGCCGCACGGGTCAATGACAAGAGCCCACTGGTTAGAGCCCAAGCATTACCCACTCTTCATTTGGGTCAAAATTGATGTCCTCAACTTGCTAAGGCTTTAGCCTCTTCAGAGGGTAAGGCCCAAGAAGGAAGTTGGTTTTTAATTGTTAGTAATTTTTTTTTTTGCATTTTTGCCCTTTTTATATTTGTCGTCAAGAGTCAAAACTTACTTCATTCATCTAACCTTACCTTTATCTAAATACGCATAAATCATAATGCAGTTAAACTACTCTTACAAAATAGTAATTAAATCTTACAAGTGCACTAGCTAATTAATTTTGTATAGAATAGTAGGTAGAGTAAAATACAGTAAATTTTATTCAGGTTACTTATTTTTTTATTTTGTTAACGAGGAAGGTCACTTCAGACTCATTTCTACGAGAGTAAACTCAAAATACTTACAATCACTTGTAAATCACAAATACCAATTAAGTTTGAGACACCTGTAAGAGTAAACTCAAAATACTTACAATCACTTGTAAATCACAAATACCAATTAAGTTTGAGACACCTGTAAGAGTCGAACCCCTAATATTCGAGTCTATTGTTCTTCCAACTTCAACCCCACTTTGTTGGACTACCTGTGCGGATTATCCAAGTTATTTTTACTCAAAAAACACTTAACCTCCAATATTAAAGACCTAACCTTGTGGTTTTGAATTAAACAGTGAATAGCATTAACAATGTAACATAAAACACAGTAACACCCTTCATCTTCCCCCCCCCCCTGCGGGTTTTATAACTTTTTATTTTGTATTGACTTTACTCAAATATAAAATTTATAAACGGAAGAGAATATTTAGAACAAAAAAAATTAGAAATAGATTTTTATAAAAGTGGTCTTGTCACGTTATTTAGCTAGCCTTCTGATATTTGGTGGTTAGTTTAGTTTCAATGAAATTTCTAACAGTTTTAGCTTAGTCCACAATCAGATAATATTATGCCTAAGTTTCTACTGTATAACGAAGTAATGTGTTACCGGGCCAAAAATCCACATTGAACAAGTCTTTTATTTGGCCAATATCATATCAGTTGTCTCCCTAGAAAACATCACCATTTAGAACTCCTCGGCTGGAGCAAACTCTTCCTCCGAAAACAAAACAAAAAACCTCTGAACTTAACAAGGAAATGCTTGAAGTATGTGCTATGCTACTATGTTTTGTTTAGTTTCACAGCAGCATATGATTCATATGCTAGTTCACTTATCACAAAAAAACAAATAAGTCGAAGCATTGAGGAGAATTCTAATCTGTACTATACCATAAAATTGTTTGATATAGAAGAAACCTGTCAGCGTCAATCCAGAAAACTCCAACCCCTGATTTTCCATCGTTTTGTTCTTTGTTCTGACTAGGCCTTCTTTTGTGCTTCCTGCTCAAAAAGCCAATTTAAGTATCAGCCAAGAATATAAAGCTAAACATAGGAGCAACAGGGAACAAATTTGTATTTACAATCATCTTAGAAGTCCCCGATTGGTAATTATATTTCACGATGATCTTCCAATTCACCGGATGAACTATCAGAAATGGTTGAACTAACGATGATGATGTTGCGCTAATACAATCAGATGACATACATGAATAAACTAGACAAACTTAATTATCTGGTAATCTCATCACATTTTAAGCTCTAAAATATGATGAAAACATTTTAATGACAATAACAAGAAGATAATGTGGTAAGAATTATCCGTTGGATGCAAACTGTGGGTCTTTTGGTAGCCAACCAAAGCATGCTACAAAATGGTTAAGAAATAATAATATTGCTTGAGTGATTGAATTACCTCTGATTGCAATTGAAATGGCAGAACCACCCCCTCAAGCTCACTTACCATTGACTTATTACATCTGACTGGCTACATTAACGATTCCAACCATGAAAACTACTTTTGGCTGCTTGGGCAGGCAAACAGTGCACTGACATAATAGAGTTGTCTTAAGTTGGCCCAAGAGCATGTCTTCATCACCGCCCCGTCTGTGTGTAAAATCCAGTTGTAACAAGAAGACACAAAACATAATAAATCCAAAAGAAGCCCACAGATTATAAATAGGCACCAGCTAATCTTATTGAAAGCCAAGCACATACAGGC